GACTAACCGAGGGGCGCCTGTTGGCCTTGTCGGCAAGCCTATTGGAAACATGGTTAGGGCGGTGGGCGGAAGCCCAAGGAATCATGTTCCCGGAAAGCTATCTGGGAAATACGATTTACCGAAGTGTCTTGGGGGCCCGCAGGGGGCTTCCGAGGGGGTCCCTTGGGGGCCTATTGGGGCTTCCGGGGGGCCTCTTGGGAGCCTCACGGGGCTGAGCCTCTTGATGGCCTCCGGGGGCGTCCTAGGAGCCTCTCAGGCCGGAGACCTCGAAACGTCGCGCTCTTCGGGCCCTCTTGGGTCGCTCTTGGGGCTCTCTTGGGGCGCTCTCGAAGCTCTCTTGACTCATCTGGAGAGCCTCCTGGGCCGTCTCTGGGTTTTCTTGGGAGCCTCTTCGGCCGTCTTGGAGCGATCTGAAGGGCCTCTGACGCGGTCCGGGGCCGTGGGGAGGCGGAACATGGGAGAGCGCAAGAATGCTTCAAAAACTATTGGAAACTTAATGATTTTCGGCGTCTGGGGCCCTTTGGAGGGGCTTCTGGAGGCGCTCTTGGGGCGTTTGGGCGGCGTCGTCGGCCGTCCTGAGGCCATCTTCGGCGTGTCCAGGGCCTCTGGGGGCTGCCTTTGGGCGTCCTAGGAACCCGGAAATCATGTTCCCGGAGAGGCTTCCGGAAACATGATTTCGAACGAGGCTCTCGTGGGCCTCCCTGAGGCCGTCTTGGGGGCCTCCTGGGCTGGCTTTGGGGCCTCTTGGGCCGTGTCGGGGGGTTCCGTGAGTCCCACAGGCCGACCGCCCTCTTGGATCTCTCTCGGGCTGTGTTGGGGCTTCGCGGGGGCGTCTGTGGGGCTCGCACGGGCCCTCTTGGGGCGCTGTTGAGCGTCTTCGGGGCCTCTTCAGGCTTCCTTGACCATCTGTACGGCCCGGAGGCCTGTTGGGCTCTCCTGAGGCGTCTTGGGGCGCGCTCAGGGCAATTTTGGGGCATCTTGGGGGCCTCTTGGGGGCCTCCGGGGAGGCTCTTGGGGAGGCTCTTGGGGGCCTCTTTGGGGCCTCTTGGGGCCTCGCGGGGCCCTCTTGGGACCCGTCTTGGGCGGCTCCTGGGCCATCTTGGGGCTCTCCTGGACCGTCTTGGGACGATTTTGGGGGTCTCTTGGGCCGTCTTGGGACGGTCTTGGGGGCCTCTTCGGCCGTCTTGAAGCGGTTTTGGGAGACTATTGGACGGTCTTGGAGCGTCGGAACCTCGAAAAAACGAGAAGGCCAAACACCTCGAACAAAAACAACAAAAATCAACGATTTTGGCTTGTCGGCGCTCTCTTGGGAGGCCTCTTGGGATGCCTTCGGGGCCTCATGGAGCTCTCTTGGAACGTCTTCGGGCCTTCCTGGCCATTCCTGAGGCTATCTATGCGCGTCTTGGAGCGCTCGCGGGCCGTCTTGGGCGGTCTCGAACTGTTCCTGGCGGTCCCAGGGGCCCTCCGGGACGCTTCGGACGCTCCCGGGAGCGCCCTGCACCCCCTATTGAGATTACTGGCACCGCCCCGGGCCGCCCCCGGGCCATATATATATATATATATATATATATATATATATATATATATATATGGACCATATGTATATATGTACATACATATACCTACGTACATACATACCAAAATCACACGCGCGCTTCGCGCGCTCAGGTTCTAGCTAGGCTTCACGGTCGAACTCTTTAGACCTACATTTTGTGACCATCCCTCTGGGGCACTCAAGAACTACGCCAACGGCCCGAGTGGCATCCAAGACCTCATGAAGCCATCCCACAGCGACCCAATAATGGGCCAACAAGTCGTCGTCGTCGTACATGTGTGCATGTAGAGGTATACGTAAGTGTATGAGTGGACATGTATGTGTATGTGTAGATAGATGTATAGTTACACGTGTAAATGTACATGTACATGTAGATGTATGGGTGCATGTATATGTAACTGCATGTATGTGCACAAATGTAGGCATGTGTATGTGTATCTACGTACGTAGATGTACAAGTCTACGTAGTTGTACATGATGGATCCATGTGTATGCGTGTATGGTGATGCGTGTACATGTATGTGCATATGCATTTGTACCTGTGAATTAATATTATTAACTGAGAAATCAAATGTATGTGCTTTATGCATGTGCGAATGTATGAGTATGATGGATCGTGCACAGCGTATATGTGTATATGTTAGTGTATATGCATCTGAGTGTGCAGATGACCAGCGGTATGTGTATGTACATGCCTATGTATTGCAGTTGTAAATGTATATGTTACTGTGTATGTGTATGTATATGGGTACGAGAATGTGTATACATATATGTACATGCACACATATGTGTTCGTTTAATTAAATGTAGATGCGTATACATATTTGTATACGTGTAGGTGTAGGTGTGTGCACGTGTGTATGTATATGTATACGTATATGTGAACGTGTATGTATATGCACATGCAGAGTTACATGTACATGCATGCGTACATGCATGACTCTATGTATACATATCTGCGTATGCGTCCTGGAAGCCTCGTGGGCGGCGTCGGCTTCAGATATCAAACCAATGGTATGTGTTTGGAGCCGCGGTGCTGTGGCCTCCAGAACCATGTTGAAGTTCCTCCTCCTCCTCCTCCTTCTGCCCCTCCTCCTCCCCTTCCCTCTTCTATACAATTCCGGACGACGCCCCCGGAGATCGAAATTCTGCGAGAAAGAATCGGCGAAAGGCCATCGAAAGGTGACGACGACGACGACGACGTCACAGGGGCGTTCTGAAGTCGGATTTTTGTTGAACGGCCAGGAGGAGGTTTAGAGAGAGGTCTAGAGGAGGAAAACTCCAGCATACCTGGAAGATTGACAACAAGGATGACGGAGGGTCAGTGGGGATTGAAAAAGAAGGCGACGGCCGACGGCCGAAGGAGCGCCGTCAGAAGTTGTTGGTGGTATAGGCGCAAGGGTTGTGACAGCAGGAAGCAGACGAAGAGGGGGACAGATGGAGTTCGGAGGAAAGAGGGAGAAGAGTTCAACATTGTGGAGGAGGATAGTGGGAGGCACGGGCAGGGAGTGGTGTGTTCCCTTTTCCGCCCCCCTCGCCCTTCTTCTCCATTTTCCCATTATCATCTGTATCCTGCATGTGTCGTTTCCTGCCGCCTATGTTCTCATCTGTGTCCTCCTTCTCCTCCTCCTCCTCCTCCTCTCGTCCTGTTCCTCCAGTTCCTCTTCCTCCTCCTTGGCCCACTCTCGGGCTGTCTTGAGGGCCTCTCAGGGGTGTCTTAGGCTCTCTTGGGCAAGTCTTAGAGCCTCTTGAGCCGTCTTCAAAGCCGTGGAAGCCGAAAGTCGTAGATAATAGAAATGTATGTTTTTCCATTGGAATTCAACTATTGTGGCTTCTTGAGAACCTCCTGGGTCTTGGAGGTCTCTTGGGACGCCTCGGAGCCTTCTGGGACCGTCTCGGGGCCATCTTGGGCCGTCTTGGGCGACTCGGGGCCTTCTTGGGCCGTCTGCGGCGCCGTCTTGGGGCCAACTTGGCCGTCTTAGGCGGCTCTTGGGCCGTCTTGGCGCCCTCTTGGGCTGGCTCGGGGGCCTCTTGGGAACGTCTTGGGCTGTCTTGGGGAAGTCTTGGGAGCCTCTTGGACCGTCTTGAAAGCCGCGAGTGCTGAAAAGTCGTACATGCTAAAATTGCACGTGTCCCCGTAGGAATTGAATAATTTGGGCCTCTTGGGTCCCTCTTGGGAGTGCTCTGGGAATCCTCCTGGGCCGTACTGGGCAGCTCGGGATCTTTTTGCGCCATCTTGGGGGCCTCTTGGAACCCTCTTGGCTCGTTTTGGCACACTCTCGGCCTCTCCGGGCCGCCTCTGGGGAATCAGCGGGCTTCCGCCGATGGTTGCGGGGTCGGCCGGCCCAGGCCGGGTGGGGGGGGCCTGTTTATTTATATCATGTATACTTACACACACATGCAGTGGGGGCCTTCATCCTCGATAGGGGTGCGTCCGTTTAGCCCTCTGGGGGTGCATCCCTGAGCTCCCCCCCTTTCTCCGAACGGCCAAACTCTTCGGGCGGAGCTGGGGGACCAGGGGGGGGGGAAACCTCGCCTGCGACAGGAGGCTCCGGGGGCGAGCTGGCGGGTGCGCCAGGCCGCACCGAGGGCAGCGCCCGGCGCGGCGCGGAGCGCCGGCTCGGCCTGCCTCGCGCCACCGCGGCCGGCCTCGCGCCCGGCACCCCTCCCCGTGCCTCGCGCGCGAGGGAGCCAAGCGTTGCTTGATTGGGGTGGCGATCAGTGGGGCGGGACAAAGACACGTGCAACCTTCGTGCCCTTCTTGGCCCAAGGGGGCCCCTTCCGCGTCCCCCCAAGATGCACGAGACGTGCACCCTGCCTCAGCCCCCATTCATCGTTGGCGGCGCGCACAAGGGGGGCAGGGGGAAAGGAGATGGCTTCTTTGAAGGAAGCTGCTTCTTAGAAGGCGCTGGCCATACATCTACAGACAAGACCCGCGCTTCCTAAGAAGCAGGGGTGCTTCTAAGAAGCCTTCCTCCCTCCCACTACCCGCGCGGAAAGGTTCTGGATACCGCGCCGATCGTTCAAACTTGAATCGATCGCGGTCCCGATCGTTCAAGGTTCAATTCCGTCAGGTCTAGTGGCGTCACCATGTTCCTCGTTGCTTCCGCGTCGCAAAATTCAACCCTGAACGCCTGCGCCAGCGTCGCCGGCGCGCAGTCGCCAACGCCGCACGAACGTGTGTTGCATCTTTGGGAGACCTTATCTGTCCCCTCGCGTCGCGTTCCACGTCGAATCCGTGTCGAATCCATGCCAAGCGCGTCGAATGAAGGTTGGATCCGTGCCGAAATCGTGCCGAGTCCCTGTCGAATCCGCGTCGAGCCCACGTCGGAGTGCAAGAAAAAACTGCCACGTACAGGACAGAAAATGCAAAGTCAGCGAACCTGGCGTGCACAGCGCCCGCGGAGTGGGACGGGGGAGCGGCGCTGGAGGTCCCCCGCCCCGCCCGCGGCGCTCTTCAGGACCACCCCGAATCCATCCGCCGCGTCTCTCCTGATGCCCGCGGGCGGTGGGAGCGGCGCGGGGCGACCCACATCTCCGACGATGTGCTCGTCTCCACCCAGGCGTGCTTCCCAGACGTCGGCCCTCGGGGCCTGCCATCGGGCGACGGGGCCACCAGAGAAGGATCAAGGGTGCAAAACTACCCCCAGGGAAGGGGTCGGGAACTCTGGGGCCGCGGATTGAAACAGACACATCAGAGGACGTCTGGGCAGGAGGGGGAAGAGGGCACGTGTTGAGGGGCCACCCTCCCTCTCTACCTGCCCCTCCTTGTCCTCCTTCTCGACCCGCTGGTCCTGGACCTCACACCCTCGTCCTCCTCCCCTCCCTACCAATAGCATCCTCCTCCTCATCCCCTAAATCTCAGCATCACTGCTCCCCGACTCCTGCACTATGGACGCTTCCCCATGCCCACGTGCCGAAGGAGCCTGGCTCGCAGAAAACATCATCGACACTAACGGGTCGCTACTTGGTGCAGTATTCACCATTTAAGCGAATGTTGATGAGGGGGGCCGAGGGAGGAGAGGGGATCAAAGATAATGGATGGAGGAGAACACAAATGGAGAGGAGAGGGATGCGGAGTACGATTCGCGTGAAGTTAGCTGGCCCACACATACACCCCGCAAATCTCGAGCCGAGCAAATCGGAGCGCGAAAGCTGTGATGAAGCATCACATCGGGGGCATCGCACAGATCCGCGCCCGCCCTGCACCCTTCACCTATGCTGGATCAGCGCGTGCTTGCTTCGCGGCGCGCACGAGGGGGTAAGGGGAGTGGGGAAGGCTTCCTAGACGGAGGCTGCTACTCAATGGGCGCTGGCCTTAAGCCTCTTTTCTATAGATGAGGCCCGCGCCTTCTAGGCTGCAGGGGAGCATCTGAGAAGCCTTCCCCTCTCCCCCTACCCCTACCCCCCCTCTGCGCTTGGCCGACCTGCTCGCACTCGAGTCCACCCCGTTCCTTGCACCACACGACAGCTCGCCTGCGCTGCGCACGTGCGTCCCTGAGGAAGGCCTGCTCAGTGGAAGGGAGGTGTCAGAGCCCGGCCAACCACAACCGATGGAGCTGTGCCGCACACGCCCCCAAGGCACCCCGCCGCGCCCACGACCTCTCTGGAGGGACGACGAGACCGATGGGCACCCCCGAAGCGGCAAGGCCAACCGCTACGACCTCTCTGCGGCCCCCGTGCCGGGCCTCAGGCGATCACGGGATCTGACTGCGGGGCGGGGCTGCCATCGCAGGAGGGGCAGCGCAATGTAGAGACTCGGGAGGCAACTACGCCTTCAGGAGGAGGAGGCGGAGGAGGAGAAAAGGAAGCAGAGGAGGGGAGGCAAAGGGGGAGGGCGACGGGGGCTGCCCTGGGGCCACCAGGGCCGCCCCACACCGCCCCACACGCTGCGCCTTCGGCCCGCGCCCACCTTCCGTGCCCGCCACGTTCGCCCCCGAGGCCAGAGGCACGACGCGCGCCCGCGCCCCGCGCCCCGCGACTGGCGCCGCAGCTCGCCGATGCGGCCGCGCCCTCGACCCCCAGGAGGAGGAGCAACTGAGGCGAAGCCAGGACGATGAGAACTTTTGCCGAGGATAGATCGACAGAACCTCTGAGGTCCGGCGGCTCTCTGGAGGATGCCCCGGGCGCCGCGGCCTTCCCAGAGCGTTCCCACGGCGGATTTAGCCTCGTCCCAGCCCCGTCGGAACAACAGCGGGCCCCTGGTGGCGCAGCCGCGCGTTCCTGGGTGGGGACGAACTGTCGGGCCCCCGTCGGCGGCCAATGGGCGACTGCGGGTCGCTGCGTCCCCTCCCAGACCCTGCCCCCACGAATGCTGCCCCCGACCCCCCCGGAGCGGATCGGAACAAACATCGGATCGAACCTCATCGGCACGGAGCGGGGATCGGACCGGGTCGGCCGCGCCGTGAACGTGGGCATATCGGAGCCGAATCGTGTCGTGCCGGCCTGCGGCCAAGATCGACGTCGAGCCGGACCGATCGGATCGAAAAGAGCCCCGCGCAAGCCCTGAGGTCTGACATTGCGCCAAAATTGCAACATTGCAAACAAAAGCACGACTGGAACCCTGAACCAAATCTTTTTGCATCATTTTTCGAGCTGGACAGATCCGCGAACGTCTCGGGATCGGAAACCCGGCGGAAACGCCCGTTGTGGAAAAAGTTGCGACGCCAGGATCTCAGGGGACACCCCCCTCCCGCGACAGTTGCCCGCGGCCCTCTCAAGAACCCGTCGATCGTGCTTCCGATGGCCCAGGAATTCGAGGGCGGACACGACCCTTTCCAGACCCCGCACCATGTGTGCGCACGCGTTGCGAAGCGCTCTCAATGACTCTGAAGCACGCACAACTCCCATGGCCCCCGAGATCCTGGCGTTGCAATGTGATGTAGCAACGTGCGTTTCAGTTGGGCTTCGGTCCCCGAGACCCTCACAAATCCATCCTGCTAGAAAACTGACCCGAAAGATGTGGTTCACGGCTTCAGCCGTGATTTTTGCCACGTTGCAACTTTTTCGCGGAATCAAGTCTCAGGGTCGCCGCTCTGATGCACAAGCGCGCGAACCCACCGCACGAGGCTACTTGCGCCCTTCCCGCTCCTTTGGAGGTTCACATTGAACGGTGCAGGTCTGACGATCCTGAGCGAGACCTCCCCGCACACCAGATCATATCACACGACCGCACTTCCGCTTCTCCAAACGTCCCATCTCAAAGTTCAGTTCTGCTCTGATGCCGGGCAACCCGCCCCCTTCTGCTCATGCACCTTCCTCCTCCTCGTGTGTCGTAAGCAGAGAGCTGCAGCAATACTCTCGAAGCAGACAACTTACCACCTGACTGCAATCCGCCCGCCACACCTTCGTGCTCCTGTGTTTTTTGTTGAGCTCAGCGCTCTGTCCGCCACGTTTAGCCAGGCACCCTACGGCGAGGGGAGAGAGCCTGCAACGTGCTCCCGTGCTGCCCGGCTGACAGTGTGAGCAGAGCGCTGGAGGAGGAGACCCCCTCTGTCGTCCACTCGCCTTTCGGCTGGCACAAACTTGACTACCTACCAGACAACCCCAACCCAACCCGAAGACTCGAATTTCGGGTTGGGGGGGGGGGTTAGGGTTCCATATTTGTTTTTTCGATGTTCCCCGACACCCCCCCCCAACCGGAAATGGAGGGCAAATTGAAGCCTTCGGGTTGGGTTGGGGTGGGTGGGTGGTGACAATTCCCTCGGCACATGTTCCTGGCGTCCACGACAGAACATGTGATCGGCCAAGAGATCCCCAGCGCGGTCAAGACGGCCCCAAGAGGGGCCCCAGGCGGCCCAAGGACTTGCAAGCACGCCACTTGAGAGCAAAAAGGCTCGAGGCCCGGAGCTCCCAGGAGAGGGCTCCGCGCGGCCCCAAGAGACGACTCTGAGTCTCGTAGGAAGCCCCTCCTCGCCCCCCCCCACCCCGAAGACGTGAACGCTCAGCCTGGGGCCTGGGGAGCAGATGTGGCGCGCTGTTGCTTGGTACAAGGAGGAGGAGGAGGAGGAGGAGGAGGAGGAGGAGGAGGAGGAAAAGGCGGAGAAGGAGGAGGCGGAGGCGGAGGAGGAGGAGGAGGAGGAGGAGGAGGAGGAGGAGGAGGAGGAGGCGCGCGACCATCCCTGCTCGACCCGACGATGCGCCAGGAAGTGGCGCGCCCCCCCTGGCCGAGAGGAGTGTCTGGCGATGGCGCACACCAGGCGAGGGGAGAGGGCGGGGGAGCACGAGGAGGCGAAGGAGGGAACATATCTGTAACATGTCACAGCCGTCTCGACCGTAGGGTTGCACAGATTTTTTGCAAGGGGAGAGAAGAGGAGCGGGAGGAGAACGGATGGATGTACTAATCTGTTGTGAGTGCACTTCCCCATGATCCGATTCATCATTCGTATAAACGGCCATCACAACACAACAATCAAAGACCGCAGCACGGCACAGTCTCAGCCGAACGTGCGCTTGCTTTGCCAATGTCGACCAAAATGCCACGGAACCGACGCACTGAAAGACCTCGGTGCAAAAACCGAGTCACGCGGAAGAGAAGGAGGAAGAGGAGGAGGAGTAGGAGGAGGAGGAGAAGTAGGAGGAGGAGGAGGAGGAGGAGGAACACGCGGACACGAGACAGGAGGCGGGGATAAATCAGTTGCTCGTGCGCCCCCTATGCTCCACTATACCACCTAGTTGGCATAATGAAGGCACCTCGCAGCCAGCCAAGGATAAGCAGAACAATGCCGGTCGAATCCCAGCCCATGCGCGGCGACGCATGAGAGGAATCAAATTGCCTGGATCACAAGTGCCAGGGCGAAGGGGGAGAGTTCCAATCGCATCATGTTGGGCGCATGCACTCGCCAATTGAAATGACAACAAAGCTATCGTTGAAACCTCCACGCACGAGGCGTTGCAAGAGGGGACAAGGGGGGGGGCAAGCCCGAACATGGTTCCTGGGGTCGGCCGCCTGTGACCCCCAAACGATACCTACGCGCGGCGCATGCACACGGCGGCCCACAGACCACCAATGATGGGCCGGGGCCCACCGTAGGATCGCAGAGATGCGGCGTGGTGTGCCCCACATCGCTGCGACCAGCAATATAAGGGCCCTGGAGGGCCTGGCGACGACAGGATGATATAGGTGTTGCATGCTGCGGCCCTCGGGGCACTGAGGAGGAGAACCACCCAATCCACGCGCCACTACCCTCTGCGCCCTACAGTCAGTGAAATGTCTTGCTACTGAGAGCGTACGGCCAGACCGCGGCGATGGGGACGGGAAGGTCAGCGGCAACGACTTGGCGGCGCCTCCAGCGCCGCCCCCGCGCGCCAAGGAAGGGAATCCAACGCCCATCCGAGACATCCGTGAGGACCGCGGAGTTTTTCTGTTTTGTCATTGTTGGCTTCCCCAAAAGGGCGCCTCTTTAGCTGCTGCTTCTCCGCCGCCTCCTCCTCCACGTTGCCTTACTATGCGGTTTGACTGTAACTCGTCCACGCGCTTCTGCGGCATCTCTCGAGGGCCCTGGAGGTATGCGGGACGCCCATGGGGGTCTGCAGAGGTATCTGGACGCCCCCCAAACACACACACACACATGCAAACACAAACACAAACAGTTCAAACAATTTAGTCGGGCTGCTGCAAGAAGGAACGATTGATAAGAAACGAAGCCCCTTTCGTGGCCCCCGAAGCGCCTGCGTGCACGAGGGAGGCTAGAGGAACTACCATGAAAAGATCTGAGTAACATCGAACCTCTTGCGAAGCCAAACTGCTCCTTACTTCACCGTCTTGACTGCATCTGGACACCCCCCCACACACACAAGCACACACGCAGGCACAGACACAGAAACAGACACACACTCTCTCTCTCTCTCACACACACGCACACACACACGCAAACGCACACGAACACGCACACGCACACACACACACACACTTTTTCCTGAGCGTCCCACCCTCCACGGGGGGAAGTGGCTGTCGAACCCCGTCCGGAGAAAACAGTCGTCGGGAATCAGAGGACCGGCCACCTCTGCCGACGTCGCCATCCCGCCGAACACCCCTCGGCGAGCGCGGGCGCGCAGCAGGCAATGGAGGGCGAGCTGCAAGCGCCGAGCGTGTGGCACTAAAAAGGCAGGTGAAACAGGGAGGGAGGAGGCCAAGGGGGGGAGAGGAGGAGGAGCCGGGGGAGGAGGAGGAAGGCCCGCTCACGGCCCCCAAGGCAGCCGGCGCGGCTGGGAGCGCCCCCGCGCCCAGCCACCAGCATGCTGCACGGCGTCGCCCTGCTTGACGTCACAGCGCTGGTCCGTGCCAGAATGCTCGCCATCCCACTCGGACAGATGGTACTCGCAGGTCCCGGCGCTGGCGATGCTGCTGGCACAAGCGCTGGCTCCCATGCATAGCCACCTACTCCGTCCCGTGCAGGAGGCTATCGGCCATCGGCTCAAAGAGTCTCGGGCCCACCAGGTCGCAGTCGGGAACATGCAGCATCTGCCACTCGCTCCGCAATTGGCGGCATGGTCCGCTCGCACGTTCAGGGACGAGATGGCGTCGATGCTGGCGTCGGTGCTGGCGTCGGTGCTGACGCCGGCGCTGGCGAAGGCGCCAGTGTTCCTGCTGGCGTCGGTGCTGCCGTGGTGCTCGTGTAGGCGCTGGCAATGATGCCGGCGTCGGCGCCGGCGGTTGGCCTGGCGTCGGTGCTGACGGCTTTGCTGGGTGGCGCAGGCGCTGGCGCGGGTGCTGGCACCAGCGTTGCCGTCGGTGCTGATGGAGGCGCTGGCGCTGGTGCCAGCGGAAAACTGGCGTGGGTGCTGACTGCTTCGGAACTGGCGCCGGCGCTGGTGTAGGTGCTGGCGTTGGTGCCGGTGTAGGCGCAGGCGGTGATGCCGGCGTCGAAGCTGGCGTCGGCGCCAGCGTAGTAGGCGCCGGCGATTGTGCTTGCGTCGGTATGCTGGCTCCCATGCATAGCCACCTAATCGACTGCCTCCTTGCCCTCCCCCTCCTTCTCTGCCTGCTCCACCTCCTCGGCCTCCACCTCCTCCACCGCCGCCTCCCTGGTCCTTCGCCTCCTCCACCTCGTCGCCGTCACCTGCCGGCTCTCTGGCCGCTGCTGCTCCCCATCGCGATGAGCGACGTCTGGTTGCCTGCCGCCGTGAACAGCGAACGGTCGAGCTACAGCCGCCCGGTGCGCGACTGCCCCGCAGGTCGTCCGTCTCGCGGCCGGGCTACAGCCACCTGGTGCGCGACTGCACCCGCAAGTCGCCCTGCGCGCGGAGCTCCGCGGCCCACTCGACGCCCTCCGTGGCGAGGGCGTCGGCGCCGCTGTTGAGTCTGCGGCGGACGGCCTGGAACTCGAGAACCCAGCCCTCGGCCGCAAGAGGCGCCAAGCCCTCCTCGATCTCGGCCTGGAGCTCCAGCCGCCGAAACCGGCCAGTGCCGGCGCCGTAGCGGATCGCCGCCGTGTTGTCGCCGGCCACGCGGGCGCGGCGGAAGGGCAAGGCCAGGCCCCGCAGCAGGCCGAGGCCGTGGCGACATCCGACGGCCTCCGCGGGTTGCGAGCCAGGTCCGGCTGGAAGTGCCACTACCACCTCCGCCACTCTGGTAGGGGCGCCTCCGGCGAGGTGGTGGCGCCAGAGGATGGCGCCCGCTCCGCTCGCTTCCTCGCCGTCGAACCGCCGCGAGCCGCCATCGAAGGTGACCTCCAGGGGCCACGTCGCATCCTCGTGGGCTGGCGACGGCGACCACGCCACAGTCACCTCTTCGTCGGGCAGAAGGCGCTGACCAGCTCTCAGGCACGCCCGGGAGCAGCGGCAGTGAGGGCAGTGCTGGACCGACCACTCCGCGGTGGCCAACGCCGGAGGGACACGACGAGGCCGGGGCCACCAGCCGGCGCCTGCTGGAATCCAAGCTGCAGGGCTGCTATCGGCCGTGAGGCATCCGAGGAGGTCGCCGGGCGCGGCAGAGCGCCGGGCCACCGCACGTCGAACCATGGCGCCGCCTCCACGTTCCTCGCGCGCCAGCGCGGCAGGGACCGCCGAAGAACGCATCCCGAGGGCGGGGGCCGCAATCGCCGCGCAGTCCGGACAGGACGGATCGGGCGGGCCCCAGGCGTCTGGGCAAAGGCCGGCTGGCTGCCGAGCTGGGCCCGGCTGCGCGTGAGTGGCCGCG